CAATTTTTTTAAAACTTTTTAAAGCAGTTTTTTCTACAACCTCTTCTGCCGAAGAGGGGGGGGGGGCGGCAGGATTTTTGCTACCGGTTCTCCGAACCACCCGCCTCCATTGCTACCGGATCGGGCGATTCGGTCCGAACTGGGAGCATTTCACCCCTGATTCCTCCAGAACTTAGTGGATTTGCAAACTCTAGATCTTGGATTATGAATAATTATAATGCTTCAGAAGGATAAATTTTTCTTCATGTACGACGACTATGAAAAAGTAATTAGTATACTGGGACCATGGGTGGCAATGATGCTGAAAAGGCCAGTGCAATGCTACAATTTCATTTCTCATTTTATGAAGCATTTTCTCCATTAAGTGGCTTAATGGAAGATTGGAAGTAATTTTATACAATGCAAAATATATTATTGATAAGTTGCTTACTTTTAAAACTTCCATGCAAAGAAATGATTTTATGCTAAAAGTGAGAATTGTTTAATTTGGATTAACAGGATATAACAAGAAATAGGAAGAGTAACACTTATCAAATTTACTTCAGTATTATGAAAATACAGATGGAATATTTTGAGAGTTTTCAGAAGAAATACCAGCCATAGGAATGATTTCATATGGAAGTCTCAAATTCAAGGTAATTGAAATTTATGGGATCAAATAAAACATCTTACTATTTCTAGGTAAATATTCAAATATGACATATACACAGCACCAAGTTATTCAGAAGATGGAAAGGAATAAACCTATGCTCTTAGGATGCAAAATATTTTTTTAGCAAAATGTGGATATATCTCATTTTTTAAAATTATCCTATGTATTCTAGTGACTACTTATATACTGTCTTTTCAACTCAACATATGCATACCCATACCCAAAACATAATATACAATTATCTATCTATCATCATCTATCTATCTATCTATCTATCTATCTATCTATCTATCTATCTATCTATCTATCTATCTATCTTAATTGATCAGTTATCTCCCTACCAAACACAGATACTCCTACAAAGTGGGCTCATCCATTGGAAAAGCATTGGTTTAATTATAATTATATTACCTTCTATTCATATTTTTTATCAGGAAAGGGCAAAACTTATAGCTGATTTTATCACTTCAGACCCCAAAATCTTGGCTCTTTGTGGGAAGAGGCTCTTGGTCATCTATTTCTATCTCTCTCTCACACACAACAGGGGAAAAAGGGGGGGAGTGTTCTGAGGTGAAATGTTCTTATCCCAATGGGTTTTACTGAATAAATTTCACATTTATTTTACCCCAAATTGCATTAAAGGTCAGGAAATTTCACTCAGGGTTGCAAAATCTCTGCTTAATATTCATTCTCCATGGTTTTAAATCACTTTAATGGAATTCCTGTGTGGCTCTAATAATCCCCACTATTATTAAAAATGTTCTTCACATTCACTTCATATAGAAAATAGGGGCTAGAGGTAAAAATTGCAGATGTATCCAGTTTTCCTCCCTCTTCTCAGTAAAAATTCTACCATTATATTCCTGAAAGCTGATCCTGACATGAGAGATCACTCCAGTTATTGGGAACTACAGAAGGGGCATGAAAATTGAAGTCTTTAATACAAACTTTTATAGAAGATTATAGAAGAAGAAAAATAGAGACATTGATTCTGAAACCAGAGGAGAACACAGATGTTTTTATTTTATTTTTACCATAGGAAGTGTACGGTTTCAGATTTACTGTGTGTCAATTAGTCCACCACTTCCTTTCAGAAATATTGTTTATGATTTTTATAAATCAAATAAAGTCTAAAACAGCACAAAAGTACATTTAGGTCCAAGTGTAATTTTAACACATACTAGGTTGTTTAAATAAATTAAAACAAACAAACCACCTTGCCTTCTCACATAGTCAGGATTTCGTATGCAACTTATTTGGAAATGTTACACAAACAGAGAAGCTATGAAGTTAGCACATAACATTGGCAATGCATTAAAAAATATTATGGATGCTACACAGAGGGAAAAAAAGACATATTCACTCCTTCGTCCTTGAAACTTCTGTATATGATTGCAAGTGTAAATTAATGTTCTATGTACTCAGTAATAATTAGTACGCTACAGTTTTCAAAGTTCTGTATTCAGCTCTCACCGCCATAGTATACCTCAGAGAAGCAAATAGGTAAAGCAACAACTTACACAGCTGACATTCTTGATGGAAAATGAAGTTATCTCCTCCCATGAGATACAGTTGATCAGTACTATCAGATCTGATGCCACAGAATTACTATGCATGTCATAGAGGGTTTTCTTCTCTAGCATATTTTGCTAATACTAAGACACATTCAGAAAGACAACACAATTACAGACGCCCTTTAAAGGCATAAATCAGCACTGCTGGAGGGAAGTATAAATGGATGGGATACAATTGTATATTTTAAGAAAAGGTTACCTGACATATTTTCATAGATTAACATCAGTGAAACAAAATGTGTTCAATAATTCACCTGCTTTTTCAATATGTCGGATCCACCAAATTACAGGGCAGTTTTCTCTGTTTTTAACAACACTTTTTGAGTGGCGTCATCTTTAGAAAAAAAGCAGGCAAGCATCAATAAATATCAACCATCACGCCACCTAAAGCAAGATCGTATTTCTTATAATTCGCTGAATGTCTTAGTAAAGTTGTACCAGAAATGGCAGTAGTGTTACATGATTACAACATCTTATTTTTTAAAAATCTATTCATTACTTTAATATAGACAACGCATTAAATGAATAGTTCTAAAGAAAGTGCTCTAGAAATACAGAACTGTAGCCAATATATAGCCAAGAACTGCACTGCGTTGTGATTATGGTTTTTATAAGGTAACTTCATTTACTGAAAATGTCCAAAAGTAGCACTATAGTTTGTTATAATCAGAGAAAGCCTATTTGCTGAAACCAAACACAAGCTAAATATCAAATGGAGCCAGAATTTTAGTAATTTCTCCACTGATGAAATCTCATGCAATTTAGTATTTTACTTTAAATGCAAATACAATTCTATTTGGCAAATATATATTTTAAAAAGCGCTGGATAATCTAATCTTCCTGGGGTTGACATATTTAGTTATATAGCAATCAGGACCTTAGAATAAATACTTGAGTGGCACAATATCATTCAAGCTTTTCTATTTTTTACTGTCAAACTAAAGAAGAATTATATCCTAAAAAGGAAACTCTTAAATAATTTAAATATTTCAAGTCTTTTGATTGGATAAAGTTACATTATATAAATAAAAATATTAAAGATGGCTTCCTTATTGTAAATAAGGAAAGGCTAGAGACATGGGGGACAAAAGTAATTTAAACTGGAGTAACTTTTCTCAGAAAAGCACCAAATATCAAGCCAGAAATTGTGAATGAGAAACACAATATTGATAATAGTCAAAAAACAATTCAGAAAAATACATTTTCTCCCGGAAACAATCCATAAGTATTCAATGATTGTTAAACTGAACATGTTCACAGATATGTAGTTAAGGCTGATTGAAGTACAATTTGCAAGGATTAATCTTTAATGAACACTTTATAGAAAGCTTCTAATGCATGTTTTTTTTAATGAGATAGTATCTCATTTTGGGGTGAATTTACTAAAATAATACAGGATTTGACTGAAATATTTCTTCAAGCAGTATGTTTAGTGTTAAAAGTTAAGAATTAGAATGGGAATAAAGCTTTAATTTTAAATTTCTTACAGGCATAATATGCACACATATTTGTAGTTTTTATTTTAATATATCAACTTTTTCAATACTACTCAATTTATATCCAAGATGCCATTTTAAAAAAAAAAAGGAAAACAGACATGCATTTTATCCAGCAAAAGTAATCCACTTATAGAACATTCGGTTTCCATAAATGAGATTATTTTATGTGGTCCCAAATGTGCAAACATGAATGAAAAAGACTGCAGCATTTCATAAGGGTCCACTCTGATAGTTCAAATGCAGAATCTGTGCAAAATCATTGATTGTTATCTCTATCAATTGTATTGATATTTTATTCTAGGCAAATGGGCTAGCTGATAAGCATTTATCTTTGCACATAATTTGCTTTTACATATGAAGGTTTCTAGACAAAATCCAAGAATTGCTATATAGGCAGTATGTTTCACAAGGATAAAAGAAGGGGAAAATATGGAAGCATTGCAGGAAAAGATAATTCTTAAATCAAATGGAAGCCTTGACATTGCTTTAATGTATTCTGCACTAGAAACATCAAATCCAATCATAACTTGGATGCCTGAATGTTAGTAATACAAAAATGTTTTCACAAAAGCATCTGACATTATAAGGAAGGACTAAAATCCCTGAGTAAATCAAAGACAATAGATATGTTTGGCCTGAGAAAACAATTATTTGGGATTAAGTATACAATCTTTTAAAAAAAAGTTTCTTAAGGCAACATTCAACTTTGAGAACCACAATAAAAGAAAAACATACCAAGCTAAAAACATATTAATGATATATAGTTGAATGCAGATTTGCGTTAACAGCAGACCAATTAAAATCAAATTATCTAAAATAGTTCTAATTTAAAGGCTGTTAATTTTAACAGATCTAAACTTATTTTTTAATAAATAAAAATTATGTTAAAATGCAATGTCTCCTTAGGGACTCCCCAAAATTAGTTTAATTTTAATGGATGAAAAGGCAGTAATAAATTTGGGTATTATTTGGGGTTAATAGAAAATAACTGATGCAAAACAGAATTTAAAGTGAACATATTTAACAAATTAGAGACATTAGTTTACTTCAACAGGCCAGACAATGAATCCAGATTATATACAGTTGATTTTATACAGATCAACAAACTGATCCACTTAAGAAGTTTTGCTAAAATGCGTACATGTTCCCTTCCTGTACAATGCTTGGAGCCTATTAGCATTATTATAGACTGAATTCAAAAACTAACTATTTGCAAAATAGCCATTTTTAGTAATACTGTCTTTTTTTTTTTCTAAGGATCTCCAATAGTGAAAGAAGTAATTAATACCTCAGACTGAATCATGCTGTCCATAGAATGCAAATGGAAGTCTCAACACTGACTCATGGAAATGGAAAAGGTGATTTGGCCTCTCACCCAAGCCAAAAACAACATGAGAGAGAGAGAGAGAGATTGCACTTGAGCTGCAGGTCTTCAATGAGTGAAAGATCCTTCCTCTCACTGTAGAACTACTTCAGTGACTTAAAGGACACTTTTAAAATTCAGTTCCTAAAGGCTAACTGCATACCATATTCCCTTTTTCCCCAACATTCTCATCTATGTTACCCGGACAAAACAGATTTTTTTTTTAAAAAAAATATCCTTGATCATTTTTATTCCTAAACCTGTTAGCCTATTATCATTTTTAAATTTTAAATCCAATAAATAGTTATTATTTTAAAAGCAAACTAACAAGAAAAACGTTATTCCGCTAACTGCTCTTGAAGTCAAACAAACGTATCATTCAATTTTGTTGTAATAGCTTTTAAGAAACTTAGAATTTTACTGGTAATCTTTTAATTCAATCACTTATATTCAGTATGTGCATATGGGTCAATTTAGGTATATAATAACCTACTTTATGACACTTGATGAACACCAGAGAACTGTAGAGAAGCATGAGCATGCTGAGTCCATACAAAAACATACAGATTTCACCTGGTAGCCATGATCCTTCCCAACTTTTAGGGAGGAATCATGATATGGCAGACTAATCAGTAAGGTCCACATCTTCTCTTCGCCATTATGAAGAACCAGACCAACTGGCACTGTGTTTTAATTGGCCTTATATTAAGAACCTTTTCTGGAAGTACAGACATTCCTAAATGTTCCTAGGGAAGAACTGGAAACACAGTTTTAAATAAACTGATACAGTTTGGTGGAAATGTAATATATGTTGATTTCTTCAGAGCAAAGTGTTACTTTTATAATGGACTTTGCTGAACATTGTGAAGAACTATCTGAAGGAAGATAATTTCATTTCCTAGCTCTTCAAAACATCTTGTTTTCTGTGGCCTACTAGGTTATGATCATGCTACTATCTTGCAGTGTGGATATGTATGACAAAGGTTGCATTACATCAGACACTACAGAACAATCAAAGAGCAGGTTTTTGTCTTTCTCTAATTAGGTTAGACACAGTGAATTGTTTATACAATTCAAAACACTATAAATAGATGACATTATCTCCCAAACATCCAAGCTAATTTTTCCAACTTTTTAAACAGTAGTAAAGTATGAGATATTGATGCTGTTCTAATCATTTCTCATTTCTATTCTGGATATCTGTCAACAGCTAATAATATGGTTCATTATTAGGCAAAATTTTACATCTAAGACAATTATTGCATTCAGCACCAAATGGATCCAATCATCATACTGTTGATGACCATAGTAATCATTTAACGTAATACTTTTAATCAACTGCCAGCATGAAACCAATCTCTGAAGAGAAGTCACCTTCACTCAGATTGTTTCTGTAAAAGTTCCAGAATTATTGTCAATAACTGGGAAAAATGTTGCTGAATTATATACTCCTTTCATGAGCTCATCAGTAGATAGGCATTTACAGTGCAGATATAAGCTGTTCAAGACGGAAGAGCTGAACTAAACCTTAGGCAGTTGGGTTGGGAGTTTTTAAAAAAAGAACTTCTGGGGCCCCAGGTCTGAGCAGAATTCTGGCTTTTCTTTAGTAGTGTACAGTGCAATAAGAATATGGCAGATGGCCCTAATCTCTGCCAGGGCTGTGATATCAAGATAGTTAACCAACACACTATTGCTGTGTAGCTGTTATTTTGCATAAGCCTTGCAGGATCAGCTCCATTCAAATGCACAACTCTTCACTCGTACCAGGGCATTTCAGTTTGTGGTCTTTTCTTCTTCTTTTTACAAAGGCAATAGATGGGGAACACAAATAAACCTATTAAAAACAAGAGAAATCATTGCATTTTAAACATATGCCCACAATATCACTGTACACAAGTGTATTTTGAACTGGAATAAATGTATTCTGGTAAAGTCAAGCAAAATTCAGTAACTGTGCACATAACTTGTTATTCTCCAGAATTCTCATCTGGCACTAGATGACTAGACTCAAATTATCTATATTATGTGAAGACCCAGCTCTCTGGAAAAGGCTCTGATGATGGGAAAGGTGAAAGGAAAGAGAAGATGATGACAAGGTGGCATGGCAGAATGAATGGACTCAATTTTAGGGGCAAAAGTTATGGATAGATCATCATTGAGAAAATCTATCAAGGTAGTTGGCTTGGAGTCAAAAACAATTTGATGCCTCATAATAAGAAAATGCTTGCTTCAGAATAGTGAATTTTAGAGCAACATGCTTTATTTAGATTTCTATCGCCTTTCTTTCAAAAGCTCAGGGTCATATGCAGCACATTTTCTTGCAAAGTCTTCCCATAACCACCTGTGACTTAAACTGGACCAGCCTAAAATCATCCAGTGAATATATACATGGCTGAGGGCATGAAAGCATGAATACAAATTATGATTCAGGAATAGCACTGAAAATGCAATACTAAAAGCAATTAGATTATAAAATATAAATATTATAACATAAAAATAAAAAGTTGGAAAATGAAACCATTTTCCAACTTTTTGCCATAGACCCAATTCAAAACTAGGACATCTTTAATTACAGCATATTAAAATTTAAAGAGCTGAAAAGTAAAACGAAATTCCTGGAATTTGGCAATGTATGTTATAGGACAACCAATACCTTTAATCTATCTAAGAACAGTATTTGTTAACAAAGATACTTAGAAATGAATAATATTGGGTATTTGAAAACAATCTGTAAACATTTCAGAAATTTTACTCTTTGAGTAGAATTTGCAACTCTACCAGTAATTAACTGTATGGCACTGTGGAAATTATGCAAGTGAAGGCATTTCAAGGCAGTTAATAAGCAAGGTATTGCTTATATTCCCAAACTTAGATAAATTTACAGAATGTACAAAAAATCACTCAACTTCCCCCTCATGACTGAAGATATCTTTTTAAAAGTTTTGTCTTGGGAGATCTAGCAGTATCTTCTTAAATACATCAAGTGCAAGATTTTTTTTAACAGTGTAACAATCAAATTTTACTTTATCTGTGATCTCTGACGTGGCATCTGGAGGTGAAATTTAGCCACAGATCACCATTAACATCTACCATTCCCTCAGTTTTATCTTAAAATAAAAACAAGAGAGAGAGAGAGAGAGAGAGAGAGAGAGAGAGAGAGAGAGCAAAACTGTCATGCTGCAAAGCAAAGTGCCAGCTTCCAGTATCATCTTTATTTCCAAGAAAGTAAAAATGATTAGGGAAAGTACTTTGTAAGTATTTTCTAAATGTTTAGGGAAAGTACTCCAGAAAGTACTTTGCCTGGAAGTATGCCCATCTAGTCAGAAAATGAATACAAATCAAGAGCAATAGGTTTTATTGGCATGTTAAGTAGATTCTGAAATGGGATTATAGCATGCATGGTAACCATTGTGGGTGGACAAAGCCGCCATTTCATTTCAAGATTTAAAAGGCTGCCCAACTCAGACAGTGTGACTCTTGACATACAACATCTGTAACAGGTTCTCATAATTCCAAACATATCTACTCACTGTGACTTAGCTTCTGATATTCGGAAGAGAATTTTACAATGTGCTGTTTGCTAGTGTTTTCAATGGTTCCTGCTGAATTTATTTATTCTAACTCTTGTGACTTTTTTAAAATTTACTTTCATATAATGATAGGAAGAAGATAGCAGTTTCAACTAAATCTATTGGGAAACAGAGTAAAGATAAGAGGAAGAAGAATCAGAAAAAAAGTCATTATCTATAACATTTAAATGTTACACTGGATCAGAATCCCTTCAATTCATGAAAACCTAATGTAATCCAAATGAATACAACCAGTGTTAAAATGGAATTGTGTGAACTGTTACTTGCAAGTATTAAATATAATCAGTATCTTCCAAATGTGCAGTTACTGAATTGTAGGGTGTTATTTATAGATAAATAGAGGTTGAATTTCTGGAGACAGAAAGAGAGTTAATTGTGCCTTTAACTGAGTTTCCAAGATCTCAATGTCAGATATCTCTGAAATATTTCTTCTTTCCCCATTTATAATTTTTTTGAATTCGATATGTTCCAGAATTTGAAAATTATGTAATTCAAAACATACCTTTTTCTCTTACCTATTAGAACAACTACAGCTCCTACTACCAGTCCCAAAACCAGTACTACTGGTGCAATAAGTAACTTCCCACCTGAAAAATAGAATTTTGTATACAGATTGTGAGATATTTCAAACCATGCTATTTTAATTTCTGCTGGGAACAAACTAATAAAAATAAGCGAACAAACATTAAAAATTTAACGAATATGCATACCATTTACTTACATGAGAAAATACTAAATTGTTTTGCTTTTTGTGAATTACACTATATACCCCTTAATGAAAAAAATCATTTAATTTATGTAACTTATGGGCCATCCAACTCCAAAGACTGGAGATCACTGCTTCGTAAATCTAACTCCAGTTGCACACAAGGAAATGAATAACTAGATTAGGGGATAAAACTGAACTTCTGTTATTTTCTCAGTGGAAACTGTACCCCTTTTCTAGGATTAAATTTCAAAATTACTCATAACATCAAAAACCACACTATTAATTCAATGTGTAATTGGCTCCTTACAAAACATGTTACAAAACCCAAAAGTAATTGTCTTTTGAAATCATGGAACCTTCCACTCTGGGGTTTCTTTTCTCTCCGAAGAGACTAAGAAGAGGGTAAAAGTGCACAATCAGAATCTACTTCATTTTTTCTAAGAGTAGTTTAGAAATACAGTATGCATGAAATAGATGATCATTAGTCCCTGCTTTTTATAATTGGTTAATCATATACCTGACTCCAATCCTACAAAATTCATGACTTTGTGCAAGTGTAAGAATTGATACTGTTTTAAAGGCAAAGGGTGGTCACACCAAATATTGATTTGATGTGGATTTGTGTTTTTATTTACACCTTCCATTTTGTTAATTGATAAAAATAAACTATTAACACTTCTGCTTCTGAAAGCATTCTTAATTTATAGCATTTTTGCCCAACTGCCTAACATAATGCACAGTACTGTACATCCAAGATATTTGGACTTTGCTGAAGAAATCCATTGCCTGTCAAATATGAGCTGTGCATATTTATATAACACTCTCTCTCTCTCTCTCTCTCTCTCTCTCTCTCTCTCTCTCTCTCTCTCTGCCTTTGCAGTAGGCAATTGCTGCTGTAGGACTCTTCCTCAGTGACTCAATGGCTAGAACAGAGGTGAGCAATTAATTTTTCCCATGGATCCACATCAGGAGTGAAATTCACTTACCTTTCCCTACCAGCTTGCAAATGTGAGCATGTGCGCTTCCTCCACGCATGCGCAGAGCCTTCTGTGCATGAGCAGAGGGTAAAAAATGGGACATGACGATGTCCGGGCGGGTGGGTGGAGCCTCCCACCACTGGCGCTACCTGACCGTGCGATCTGGATAGATCCGGCTGAATTTCACCCCTGCGAGCGCACTGCTTTACCCAGATGGTCAGACTGGGATCATTGTGGGACTGTATGTGGCTCACGGGTTATAAAAGGAACAGACCTGGACTAACAAATTAACTGCCACTAGGTTCCGGTAGTTTTATTTTGCTTCCCCCTCTTAATTCTTTCAATTTTACTTTTCTGTTATGGGACACCAGTCAGAATTTGACCACAACAGTTTGTGCAATAAATGAACTTGTTAGTGTTTTAATTATTATCTGATTTTAATGAATATTCTCAAGTACAATATTGTACTTTCCACCGTTAAAACTATAAACTAACAGTGGAAATGAAGGTGTATGAGTTAAAAATAAGAGGGCAGTTTTTGCATGTTCAACAGACTCTAAGTATAGAGGGTAGATGTTTATAAATTTAGAACAGAAATTTTAAAAATATATAAACATCTACAGAGTGGTGAAATCCAATTTTTTTAACTAGATTCTGTGGGCGTGGCTTGGTGGGTGTGGTGTGGCTTGGTGGGCATGGCTTGGTGGGCGTGGCAGGGGAAGGATATTGCAAAATCTCTATTCCCACCCTCACTCTGGGGCCAGCCAGAGGTGGTATTTACCAGTTCTCCTAACTGCTCAAAATTTTGGCTACCGGTTCTCCAGAACCTGTCACAACCTGCTGGATTTCACCCCTGCATCTACCTTGATGGCCTGCTATGGCCTGAATTTCCAACATCACATCCACAGTTCTATTATGATGCCTCCCTTGGTGACAATCAAGTTTCACTTGATTTACTAATTTATTTTACATCCATTTAATTGAAAAATAATGATTAGTGGAAAGTTGGCATGTTATTACAAAATTATCAGCTTCAGGCAAAAATGCAGGCTACTGGACTCTGCATAGACCCCAGAAATATTATTTAAAAAATTAAAAACTGAGTTTTATTTGAAAGTATGTTCGCCTACAAGTTTATTGTTTAAATATACTGATGAGACACAGAATATAAATTAGCCAGATAAAAGAGGAACATAGTACATAACTCACAGACATAGTGAGTTATTTTGAAAGAGGAAAGAATCACAGTTGGTAAAATGTAAACTAATTCTTTATATAATATACATGAATCTTTTCTGTTATCTTTTTCTTTCCCCTTTTATATATAAGATGTAAATAGGATTTAAAAATGCAGCCATGTGAGGTGTGGAAGCAAAATATCACCCCTTCCACCTTTTGCAATGCTTAATTTTGGGTAAGAGATTTACTCCATTTCTATTGGCGATGTCAGCTTTGTATTTTTATTTTTTTAAAAAAACAAGATTAAGCTTACATTGCAAAAAGTCTGATGACATTTAGCATGCTGACATTTCTCCCAACATTTATCTTAAATGCTCATTGCCATTTTAAATGTTCACTGATGCTCTGCTACATGCTGTCCTATAATTGACTGTATTCCATTTCATTTCAATTGTTTTATGTAAAAAGTTATTATCTTTTCTTTCCTGGAATCCTGTAGGGCAGACACTGTGTTGTAGAAAAAGCAGACAGCGCCACTCTTGTTAAGCAAACAAGCCAGCAGACAGCACAGAGTATAGACAACAGTACAGTAGGCAACAAAGAACAAAGCTGTTAAGAGATAAAGTAAACTTTCCCCAAAGGCTATTATCAGAGACCGCATTCCATCTATTGTAACATAAATGCCCAGGTCTTATAACATACTATAACATACTATCCAGTTGGTAAGTAGTGCAAGTCAGTTTGTATTGTATATATGTAAACAGATAAAATAAAAGACTCTGTTTTCTGATGCATTGTCATCTGATTATGTGAGACAGATGCTTTGGTTGTTGTTAAAGAAGATGCAATACAATCCTTTTTCTTTACAGTATTTTTGGTAAAGGAATTTTATATAATAATTTGGTACCTTAAGTAGAATTGGAAGGGGTTGACTGCAGTGGTGGGTTTCAAAATTTTTTACTACCGGTTCTGTGGGTGTGGCTTTGTGGGCGTGGCAGTGAAAGGATACTGTAAAATCTCCATTCCCACCCCACTCCAGGGGAAGGTTACTGCAAAATCTCCATTTCTTCCCGATCAGCTGGGACTTGGGAGGCAGAGATGGGCCAGTCAGAATTTTTACTACCAGTTCTCCGAACTACTCAAAATTTCCGCTACCGGTTCTCCAGAACTGGTCAGAACCTGCTGAAATCCACCTCTGGTTGACTGGTGAACAAAAATTATGCCCACAAATGATTTCATCCTTGTCCTAATTCCTCTCAGATCCCCTCTCCAATTCAAACTTGGTAAAGATAAAAAATGGGTAAGCTGGCAAAAAGAAAAGACCCAACATCCTGGGTGACTCCTGTGGCATGTGTTCAGTGATTGGTCTTTATACCATCATCAATATCTTAAATTCTATCCCTGCATGTGGGATCAGAAAGGCTGAAACACTTGAATCACTGATCCAGCTAATGCAAAATAATTAAGGAAGTGAGAGTGTGAACTATAGACATTGATGGAATGGATGGACACCTAACAATCCTTAACACAAATATTGGGTATAAATACCTGTGAATTGGATAAATATTATTTTATTTTAAAAGACCATCAATATATAAAGGTAGGTAGAAGTATAATGAAGACTTATAAGCAGAAAGGGAAAAATGCTAAGTGTTTTAATCTAGGTAAATTTAATTAAACTCAATTTAGAAATAAATCCCTGAAGACACAGGGAGCACAACTACTCATTGCAGTCACATGAAAATTGTCTTCAATGCTTATGACAGCACCACCTATATGTAAAATCAGAGAAATGTGCATTTGACACATCAAAGTTGAATTCCTAGATTACCCTATTTTCTGTCCTTTGATCTCTGCAAATAATAAGGGAGATGACCTTGAGACAAATATGCAAGACTATTACATAAACAGAGACAGCTGATACATTCTTTAAATTCTGGGAAGCAAAGTATTATCTGGAAGGTGCTCAGGCAAGGATCTCTCTGATTCGCTAAGGTTTAAGAAGGAAAGGAGGTAAAGCATTATCAGGCTTGCAAGATTCTGTTACTTTAGCCAATCTCAATCTAGTTCTAATTTTCTTGTGGAACTGATTTTCTGGTCTAGTTTACCTAGTCTATCTATTCTAGAGAGTTGGGGAGATGGCTTCTGTTGGAAATATGAAAGAATGATTTCCTATATACAAAGGATGCTGAAACATCTTTTAAGATCTAACAAACAAGAGAGCGCTCAGAAGTAGCTCAGGCAGATGTTAAAGTGTGGGTGGGTGGGGTGGGGTGGAGAACAGCATAATCAGACTTGCATGATTCTGCTATTACAGACAATCTCAATAAAAGTAGTTCTAGTCAACCATAGATATCAACCATAAATACCTCGTGGTGCGACCGGAACAACCTGGAACTGAACACACTGAAAACCGTAGAAATGGTGGTAGACTTTAGGAGAAACCCTTCCATACTTCCACCTCTCACAATACTAGACAACACAGTATCAACATTAAAGACCTTCAAATTTCTAGGTTCTACCATATCGCAAGATCTAAAATGGACAGCTAACATCAAAAACGTCATCAAAAAAGCACAACAAAGAATGTTCTTTCTCCGCCAACTCAGAAAGCTCAAACTGACCAAGGAGCTGCTGATCCAGTTCTACAGAGGAATTATTGAGTCTGTCATCTGCACCTCTATAACTGTCTGGTTTGGTTCTGCAACCCAACAAGACAGACACAGACTTCAGACAATAATTAGAACTGCAGAAAAAACAATTGCTACCAACCTGCCTTCCATTGAGGACCTGTATATTGCACGAGTCAAAAAGAGGGCTGTGAAAATATTTACAGACTCCTCGCATCCTGAACATAAACTGTTTCAACTCCTACCCTCAAAACGACGCTATAGAGCACTGCAGACCAGAACTAGACACATGAACAGTTTTTTCCCAAATGCCATCACTTTGCTAAACAAATAATTCCCTCAACACTGTCAAACTATTTATTAAGTCTGCACTACTATTAATTTTCTCATCGTTCCCACCACCCATCTCCTCCCACTTATGACTGTATTACTGTAACCTTGTTGCTGGTATCCTTACGATTTATATTGATAGTTTCCTGATTGCTTATGTGTAACCTATGACTATCATTAAGTGTTGTACCTTATGATTCTTGATGAACGTATCTTTTCTTTTATGTACCCTGAGAGCATATGCACCAAGACAAATTCCTTGTCAATCACATTTGGCCAATAAAAAAATCTATTCTATTCTATTCTATCTGCATCCTGCATTCTAATGGGCTGACATCTACCCACCTATTCTACCTACTTAGCCTGATCTACCTACTTTATCTATCCAGACAAACATTTTCTGTGCTAATAACTCTGGTTGCAAATCATCCTCTCTTTTCCCTTTCTCTTCATGTCTACAACTCCATGTGCAAATACACTCACAAGATTTGCCTATCTCTCACACCCTATACTAGCAGTTTATGTTGTGGTCCGCCAGCAGCCTGCCGAGCTGGCAGCAGAGTCGGTCAGTAAGGAGGCTGGGAAGGAACATGGGCCAATCCTGGAGTCTGGGGAAGGCTCAGACAAGGGCTCTGCGTTGGAGGCAGAGATGGGTCCAGGGCCATCTGGGAGTTATGTGCGGACTCCGGAGTCTATAGAGTCGGACATCAAAGAAGCAAAGGAACAGGGGGAGCCTGTTCCTAGTGCGCACATGCGCAGAGCTGCCAGAAGGCAAGAACAGTTAAAATGAAATGGACAACTCAGGAGTAAGGCTTGAAGATCAATGGCCCCTCCCATAAGATATAAAGCAAGAGCAAAGGCATGTGGGCCTTTGCAGGAAGCAACGTTGTGGATGATGTCGGTTTGTAATTTGAAGCTCCGTTTTTGACTCTGTGTGTTTCCGTGTGGCTTGCCAAGATAATTGCCAATTAGGTCTTTGGCAACATGTCAAAGAAGATAAAGGTGGGTGTTTACCAGCCTTATCCGACGGACTGTGGCAGACTTCTGTTGGACTATTTATAAACTCTTGGTGATTCAGCACGTGCTGTGAATGAAATTCACAGCTGTTAAAATTTAAAAGGGTTTTGGGACTAATTGTGTGCTTTTTACTATATCAGGAAGCCTAGGTCAGAACAGTTTAGAGTGCAAATGCATGTATCATGCTTGCCTATCCCCTGCTTTCCTTGCCAGTGACTCTGTATACAAGTACAGTTGCAAGAAAAAGTATGTGAACTCCTTGGGATTACGTGGAGTTTTGCATGAATTGGTCATAAAATGTGCTCTGAACTTCATCTAAGTCACAACAATAGAAAAACACAGTCTGCTTAAAATAATACTACACAAACATTAGATGTTGCCATGGTTTAATTGAACATAACATGTAAACATTCACAGTGCAGGGAGGAAAAAGTATGTGAGCCCCTAGCCTAATGACCTCTCCAAGAGCTAATTGGAGCCAGGAGTGAGCCAACCTTGACTCTAATCAGTGTGACGATATTGGATGTGTTGCTGACAGCTGTCCTGCCCTTTAAAAACACACACCTGTTTTGGGTTTACTGGTTTCAAGAAGCACTGTCTGATGTGAACCATGCCTTGCAGAAAAGAGTTGTCAGAAGACCTACGATCAAGAATTGTTGACTTGCATGAAGCTGGAAAGGGTTACAAAAGTATCTCCAAAAGCCTTGATGTTCATGTGTCCACGGTAAGACAGACTGTCTACAAATGGAGAAAGTTTAGCACTGTTGCTACTCTCCCTAGGCATGGTCGTCCTGTAAAAATGACTGCAAGAGCACAGCACAGAATGCTTCATGAGGTAAAGAAGAATCCTAGAGTGTCAGCTAAAGACCTACAGAAATCTCTGGCACATGCTAACATTTTTGTTGACACATCTACAATAAGGAAAACATTAAAGAAGAATGGAGGACATGGGAGGACACCACGGAGGAAGCCATTGCTGTCCAAAAAAAATATTGCAGCACGTTTGAAGTTTGCAAAAGAGCACCTGGAAGTTCCACAGCACTACTGGCAAAATATACTGTGGACAGATGAAACCAAAATTGAGTTGTTTGGGAAGAACACACAACACTATGTGTGGAGAAAAAAAGGCACAGCACACCAACATCAAAACCTCATCCCCACTGTAAAACATGGCGGAGAGAGCATCATGGTTTGGGACTGCTTTGCTGCCTCAGGGCCTGGACGGATTGTTGTCATTGATGGGAAAATGAATTCCAGAGTTTATCAAGACATTTTGCAGGAAAACGTACGACCATCTGTCCACCAACTGAAGCTCCGCAGAGGATGGATGATGCAACAGGACAATGACCCAAAGCATACAAGTAATTCAACAAAAAAATGGCTTCAACAGCACAGAATACGCCTTCTGGAGTGGCCCAGTCAGAGGCCTGACCTCAACCCGATTGAAATGCTGTGGCATGACCTTAAGAGAGCAATTCACACCAGACATCCCAAGAATATTGCTACACTGAAACAGTTTTGTGAAGAGGAGTGGTCCAAAATTACTCCAGATCGTTGTGCAGGTCTGATCTGCAACTACAAACGTTTGGTTGAGGTTATTGCTGCCAAAGGAGGGTCAACCAGTTATTAAGTCCAAAGGTTCACATACTTTTTCCTCCCTGCACTGTGAATGTTTACATGTTATGTTCCATTAAACCATGGCAACATCTAATGTTTGTGTAGTATTATTTTAAGCAGACTGTGCTTTTCTATTGTTGTGACTTAGATGAAGTTCAGAGCACATTTTATGACCAATTCATGCAAAACTCCACGTAATCCCAAGGGGCTCACATACTTTTTCTTGCAACTGTACATAGGATGCTCCCATTTCACCTTAAGGGTTATGTAGAGAAAAGTGATAACCAAGACAGTTGAGAAAGTGCTTCAAAAGAGAATTTGAACAAAGATACAAAACTAAGGATGTGAGTATACATGCATTTGCATATGCACGGTAATATACATATTCAGGTACTCCGCAACTTACAAAATTAGGACCAGAATCAGTTGTTGAATGCAGTGGTACTTAAGTTAGAGACTATGTGACTGCTTTGCTCATTGACTGCAATCTTGGCACTTCCAGTTGCAGTAATTAAACCATCCCCTGGTCATTAAGTGGCTGGAGCAAAAGAGCTGCCTGCTAAAGGATTTCAGCTCTGCACAGAACTGAAATCCTCCTGGCAGGCAGTTTCTTGAGAGTGAAAGGGCTGCTTACCAGAGGGTTTCAGTTCTGTGTGGAGCTGAAATCCTCCTGGCTAGGGGCCCTTTCAAACTCAAATGTTTCAGCTCTATTCCTGCAGCCCCACAAGGATTTTCCTCTCTTCTCCATCCCTTCAGCTTGCAACCTTTATCTTGAACTTCCCAATTGGTTTTCTGCAGAAGCTGGCAGAGAAGATTGCAAATGGCAATTGCATGATTGTATGGTGCTTGGCAGCCAGTCATAAATACAAACCAGTTGTCAAGTTCCCAAAATATGGTGATTTGACTGTGGAGGGAGGATACAGTGAGATGTTTTGCAATGACTGTGGTTTATGGGAAGAAAAACATCTTTCTTAGGCCATGGTAACTTTGGTCATTAAATGATATTCCTAAACCAAAGACTATCTGTGCAATGACAAAATCAACAATATAATTGCAGCAGCAAGTCTATTTTCAGTTTGCAAATGATTAATCTATTGTCAGCTTTAAACTGACTTTTCTGATATTTAAGAGACAGTTGGCTTATCTGGTTTATAAATAATATTTAATGAACAAAAGACCTTGGCCAAGAATCAACATGGTCAAATGGGGATTCTTCACTGGACCAGAAATTTACAATAGAAGTAACAGGCAAATTATGCAATGCCTCTAATGCTTTTCTTTGTCAGAAGCAGACTGTTGTGCAGTGTGGAAACTCACTATGAGCAGCTCACAAGCATGAAATACACACAGTGGTGAAACAACATGGAAGAAGTTGAGGGAAAAAAGCAAGTGTCAGCATTCTGATGCTGCCATAAAAAGGAGGGGACGAGGCTTGACTTTTCACCTACTTATTTTCTCTGTAGATAATATCCCCTAGGAGATGGGATGGGAGGGGGGGACATTCCTGTGGGCTGAGGTCAGAAGCTGGGGAGACTGACTTGGAAGATGGCCAATGAGAAGATGAGAATTGGGGAATGGAAAGGGAAGGGTTTGGGGGTCAGAGGGTTAGTATCGGCTACGACAAAGTCGGGGCCAGATCTGTCGTA